CTTACATTACCACTCGCAGCATCATCAAACATTATTATTTTATTTGTTGTAGTAGTAAGTTTTTATGTATTTTATTTCATGCTTTTCAGAAGAAAAAGGGGTGGATTCTATTTCTTACTTGGTGAATGTTCTTTTTGACCAGTCAAGACATCGCAATGAGCACCTTAAAAAAATCACATTATTTGCAATGAGTTCCCGTTTAAAAAAAATTGTCCAAAATTAATGGAGTGAGACGTCATTCTTTTTTATGACATCTTTGCTTTAAAGGATCAGCAGAGCGGGGATTTAGCGACATCTAGCGTTAACGAGTTGAAACCCATTACAATTTGATTCATTTTCTGAAATATGTGACGAATTCGCCAGTGATTAAAATTTTTTGACAACTCGGTTAAAAGTGTATATCTTATATTATTTATCTACATGTCATAAGCAACTGTTTTAAGTCGTTTGATTTTGTAAGTTGTTTTTTTTATAATAAAAATCTTAAAACAGTATTTTTAACGATTATTATTGCAGCAAAGATCAATACAGATATGCAATTTAAGATTATATTAATCCAGTAGTAACACTATTAGTATAAATGTTGTCCTATAATCTTTTTTTTTTTCCGGTGGGCGGTGTCAAACAGGAAAATGTTTGAAGGAAGGAGGGGTCCCGCCTGTTGCAGCTCATGATCTGGTGAAGTTTTCAGTCTGCTGCTTGTGACGGAGCAGGCCGTCATGGAGGATGAGGAGGTGGACACCTACCCGGAGGTCAGAAGCTTCCCTCAGCTGCTGCCTGCTCCCAGGTTCCGCTCCCACAGCGACACCTCGGGATTCCGCAGCAGGGTGCTGCACAGGCTCAGGGGGGCCCGCTCAGGTAGGTCTGACCCCTCACCTGAAAGACACGGAACACCCAATAAGTCCAAAAAAAGGCTAACTGTAAATAGGCTAAACATGTCTGTCTCCATTGAAAATAACTTCAAAACAATATAAGCTTTCACAATATTTTTTTTGCTTTCATTTTAGTTGCTTTTCCTTCTTTAATGCTTTCTTATACTGCAACAATGACCTGATTTACTGTTCAATGATGTCTCACTTGATTTTCTTTAAATTCACACATTAAACTGGCTGTAAAACTGTTTCTTTGATGTTTACAGCCCAGACATGGAAGGAGCACTTTGACAGCTACTTGTGTTATTTTTTCTCCATCTCTCTCTCTCTTTTATAAGAAGACTGAAAACCTGCAGGGTCCAGTGGGAGGGTGACAAACTTGTTGGCGGTGTAGCGCCTCAGCCACAGCGTTAACCCACCTCTTGTAGCCCCCTCATCTTTCTTAAATGTCAGTGGGACACTTCCACTGTCTGCTGGCACTGGCTGCAGAGCACTTTCGGGCCTAGATGTGATCTCAGTGGTTTTAACCACTTCCTATCAACCATCTTCATCTCATCCTGTAGCTGTGCACTTTAGCCATCTCTGGCTGCAGACTTAAAGTTTAATAGTGCACTTTTTTTGTTCAACGAGAACTGTCTTGTTTTTGCAGTTTGGTATCACTGCCACCGGTGTACATTCAGAAGTTGCAGTTATTCTGGYACAGGAAGTGTTTATGTTTGAGCTGCAATTGCAGGAAATTGCTGCAAAGTGGAGCAGTTAGGAAATTAGATGTCCTGAGTTATTTATTTATTCTGCCGGTTTCAATGTGACGGTTTGTAGGCTAATGCTGAGGATTAAACTCTGCAACTGATATTTGAATAGTTTGTACAACAATCAAAGATTCTGAATTCTGTTTGTATCATAAATGTTTTAGTTTTATCTGTCATAGGATGAATCCGTGATTTTTGATTTTATTATTAAATATTAAATGTTGTATATAAAAATGCTCTTCACATTGTTTTTCAATAGAAGGAAAATATCTTTAAATTAACAGCAGGGGGCGCACTTTCACCATTTTACACATGGACCCATTTAAATTGCGTCCATCCCATCCACACAAAAGTCATTTATTATTCCTTTTAGGTCGTTCTTATCAGAATAATTGAGGATGTGAAATCCATTTAGAGGTAKAACTTTTATCTTTTGTAAAGCTAATGCATTTACCGAGGCCAATAAACCGTCTGTGGCAACAATCAGCTCTGTAATTATGGTGAAATCCAAATGTGAGCATGTGGGTTGTGAACTCAAGCTGAAAAAGTCAGATTATTTTAGCTCTTGTCAAGGTGAATTTTTTTTTCTGTCATAATCTGTTCAAACACTAAAAAGGCCTGATGCATCTCAGTAATCCAGGTAAAAAAATCAAAAAGAAAAAAATTGTATAGGTC